GTGGGTGTGTGTGTGGGGGGGGTGTATGTGTGTATAATATGCAGGATGATCGATTGAGTAATATATTGAATAACCAATTGATTAACTGAGCTAATTTGCAATTTTTAGTGGATTTTCTTTTTTCTTCGGTTAAATGCACCTTAATATAATTTTTTCTTTCAGATACAAAATGCACTTACATTCATTTCAGGTAATTATGTCGTGACCGTGATATAAAACTTTACTGATTTTTTTAAGCTTTACAGTTGAATTTATCTGAAACTATTTTTGTACTCTCATTTGATTTGAGGGTGTATCATAAATATCTGTACTATACGTAGTATACTATATGATTCTAGAATCTTGCGTTGATCCTCTTGGGGTTGAAGATGGAACAATTCCTTCAGAACAACTGACTGCATCCTCCGAATATAACTTGTTCTTTCGACCTGATCACGGGCGACTCAACACTGCCTCAACAGGCGATTATGGGGGAGCATGGTCGGCAGCAGTCCTCGACCAAAATCAATGGATTCAAGCCGACCTGGGATTTTTGTTAATGGTAACAGGAACGATTACACAAGGTAGAGATGCTGGGATGGGTCAATGGGTGACGTCATATAAAGTTCATTACAGTCTTGATGGTGACCAATTCGGAACAATCGAGAACGCAAGCGGTCAAGTTGCAGTAAGTTTCCGTAATAATTAATTTACTATATTTGAGCTTACATGTTGCAATTAATTATATATAAGAAATAATGTAACGTTGTAATTTAGGCATATAAGTCTTTACATTTAAAATATACTAAAGGTCATGCGTTATATATAACTTCATTAATTAATGTCTCCCCCTTGCTATTTCAATGTTATCTATATTGTTATGTTTTTACTTAGTTGTACATAGTTTTTATTGATTGATGCTTTATTGATTTAATGAAAATTTAGTCAATGAATTATACTTGGTTATTAATGTAATACAGTATTGTATTTTTAAGGTGTTTACTGGAAACTCGGATGGAAATACTGCCGTAACAAATATGTTCCATATTCCTGTGTACGCTCAATACATCCGAATTCATCCAATGAGTTGGATACATCATATATGTATGAGATTTGAGGTTATTGGATGTTCAGGTATTTAAAATAAATATTACAGTTTAACAATATTATATAATGATAATACAAGGTACTGTGATGTAATTTAAAAGTAGTAATGTATTTGATAATATTTGTAATAATAGGCCTACAGTTTATTTATTAGAAGATTTTGGACAGCCACCCATTACAGAACTATCACTGGCCGATCTGCATATGGGGCAAAATCAAATACCTGTCTATTCTATTCTCATACGATAATACAAATTATAAGTCAGTCATAACGCCAACATTGCAACTCCCAATGATGTCTTCCTATTTTTAGGTGTTAGGTTATACCTAATACATTTATTTTACTATAATACAATGATTAAATACTGTTATGTTAGTTTTACTATACTTTGTAATAGTTTAGACTGTATTAGCCATATTGTAGAGTGCATGTACAAAGTTCGTTCTAAAGTACCCTCATAAATTTTTGTTGTCCAAATCACCTAGTTGTTGGCTAATATTCCAAATAAGGTTAAGGGACTGTTGAATCTGAGTTGTGTGATGATGTCATCTACAACTTCATCCTCAAGAAGATGATGTCATTCCCAAATTCATCTTAAAGTTAGTAAATTCATCTTAAAGTTATGTGGTGATGTCATAATAATCCCCCCACATATCCTGTTCATAAATGTATAAAATGGGGTACAATCCTATCATTTAGTCAGTCCAAAAGTTCTAAAGTTATCATTAACTTTGTTACACGTCTGCTGTCTGCCGTAGTTTATTAAGTTTATCTATAGACCTTGCCGGTCTCGGACACCAGTCTTTGATCCATGGGCTCAGCTAATTCTGTAAGTTTTCGAGCATCTTAAAGTACTTAATTGTGTTTTACCACCATCATTTTTGTTCTCTTTTATAATAATGTATTTATGCTTTTATTAATAAATGTACATATTGTATATAATACTAAGCTATTGTGTTTCCTATTCTCTGTTTGTGCTTTGCATGTAACACTATACCCAACCATGCACGAATTTTTCATTAGTGCAAGGGTTTGCTTGATCTTTTTTAGGTGTGTAACCCTACTAAGCCACCCCTCTTTCTGAATTATAAGCAGGACAAAATAATATTATTTTTTGTAAATGACATGTATATAACTCTGTCCAAAACAATACCATACTCTATTCAATATAATTCTAAACAATTAAAAATACCAAGATGCAGTCATGTGACGATATAATGTGTTTTTATTTTATTTATAAACAAACCAACAGCGAAAAAACAATTGCCACTTACAGGATTTTAAAAAAACACAAACAATTACAGACGGGTTACAAGATAAAAGATAATAAAGAAAAAGTCATTGCACTTTGCCAGAAGAGAATACAATTAGGAAATAAAATAATATAAAAAGGTAAATTATTTAAAAAATTACTCTGAAATGTAACCGCAGACAAATTTAAACAGAGTAAAGTTGGAAATCTGTCTGTCCAGGGATCGTCGGAGCTCTCATCAGCCCAAGAATGTGTTTCCACTCTGCAGCTCAAATCATGCCAACAACCACAGTCAAATGATTGATTGGATAATTGACTTGCCAAAAAAAAAAAAAAAAATTATGAGGGGCGTTTATTAATATTAGAAGGGGCGCTTATTCAAATAGGGCGCTCATGGAACTTCTCACGTTAGGAGGGGCGAGTAAGGTATTGAAGAAATACGATTAACAAAACCATTTTTCCAAATATTAACTTTGGTAAAGGAAAGAAATATTAAGTCAGGGTATTTTCATCTGGCAAAGGGATTTGATTTCAAATTAATATTGTTAACAAAATTAAGTTGGTCAATAGGTTCAGGACTGATGAAGCGCAAGAATTTAGAATGAATTCTGTTGGTACTTTGACTTTGGCAGAAGGAAATCGAATAAATATAAAAGACAAGCGTTAAAAATAAAGTGCGTTTAGTAGAAAAATTTAAAGATTTACAGTTACGCCACATCAGTCCTAAAAGCCTATTGGCTTTTGTCACAATATAATTACATGTTGGCAAGACGTTAAGTTTTTAATCAATAAATACACCCAGGTCTTTCTGATGGCAAACATTTTCGAGAGCCATATTGTTAAGTGTATAAGAAAAGGTGGTATCTTTTAATCATTTAAGTTTTGTGGGTGGCTTACATATGTTTCATTATATTGTATTTTAACCTAAAATTTTAATACCCCGTTTCAGGTATAATAGACGAATGGACTGAAACCACATCGTCTTCTCAAACTGACGTAAGTCAATAACTCATTCCACATATCTTAGATTGTCTATTGTTTTAGAAATTGATTATAATAATGTTTGATTATATTGACAGACATTGACATTAATAAGAGTACTTGATTGATTGACTGATTGATTAATCGGTGGCATTGTATTTACATGCCTTTTTTAAATTTATTAAACGTTAATTCAAAAACTAAAATTGACTGACTTTAATCGAAGAAACAACTTCAATATGATGAAGCTCGATAATATTTTTGTAAGACTGTAAAACACACGTCCTAAGAACAATTTATAATGCTTTCATTTATTACATTTCTTTTTTAATAGAGGCATGACACTATTAACACATATAGCTATTTACTGAGTGACGTTGCAAACATATTTTTTACTTCTGACGATATGGAAGAATTGCAAATATTATACGAATTAGAACACATGTTACTGGAAACTGAATGGAACTCATCTTTGGAGACTATTTATGATTTTTCAACGGTAGGTTGTCCACAATAAACTGATAACAACAATTTCAACCAGTGGCGTAACGAAGAGGCCCCTGGCTCAGGGTTTTTCGGGCATTAATGCCCTCAGTGCTGGGGATACGTAGGGCCCTAGTCGAGTACAAAGCTAGTTAGAGTAAGGTATAGTAGAACTCCTCCTTTGGGACACCGCTTTAAGGGGGCATCCCTATGGAGCGGACACTTTTTTTTTCTTTTGATATTATGGCCAACTCGAATGTAAGAGAAACCCATAAGAGGACACATATTTGGTACCGAGGGTGTCGCCTTAATAGAATAAGGGTTCTACAAATTCTCTCCTTAACTAAATAAAAAAATATTAATATTAAACAAAAA